TTTGTACCAGGGATTGAGCCCAGGGGCACTTAACCACTAAGCCACTTCCCCAGTGGTTTTTATTTTCTATTTTGAGACAGGGTCTTGCTAAGTTACTTAGGGCCTCATCATTTGCTGAGGCTGGCTTTGAACTTGCCATCCTCCTGCCTCAGCCTTCTAAGCCTCTGGGATTACAGGTGTACATGCCTGGCTAGAAATTTTATTCTTACTGTTGTAAATTGGAGACCTGAATTCATTGCCTCACTGAAAAAAATTTAATAAATGATTTTAAATGTAGATGAAAAAGTAGTTTTAGAATACTTATTCATGTATATATGAATTACATAGGTTCTGTTTATTTGCTGGAGAATTTAACTAACGATTAATTAAATTCTAACACAGATAATTTAAATTGAGCTTTTGGAATATAATCATGTGTAATATGCCTTATGTAGTTAAGCACATTTGTGTCTTATCCCTCTGCTATAGTTTGGACCTTGAATATCCCCTGAAGTTATATCCCCCCAGGTGTTAAAGGCTTGGTCCCCAGGGTGGTGTTATTGGGAGGTACTGGAAACTTTAAGTGAGGTCTAGTGGGAGGTCTTTAGGTCATTTGAGGTGTGTCCTAGACAGGGATTGTGAGACTCCCAGCTTTTTCCTCTCTTTCTCTCTCTCTTTCCTCGTAATGAGGTGAGCATTTTTGCTCTGCATGTACCCTGCCCTGGTGGGCTGCCTCAACACAGGCCTAAAGTACAGGGGCATATCAATTATGAACTGGAACCTGAAAAAGTCTGAGTCCAAATAAACCTTTTCTCTGTACAAGTTAATTAACCAAAACATGTTTTCTGATAGTCATAAAAAGCGAACATACCCTCAAATTACAAACTCCTTGACACTATAGTTCATATCTTATGCTTTTTTATGCTTTTCCCACATCTTTTAGTTTGGGGATTCAGTGGATGATGAAGTTTTATAGAGGTGGCCGTCAGTGGAGCATGGAACTCCTTTGGAGTCCATTATTTTCCCTGATCTACTCCCTAATGGAGGAAAAAGTCTAGTGAAAAAGACTCAAACATATATGCCCAAAGAAATAAGGTTTTGAATAATCTACTTCCCCCTCCTCCTCCTCCTCCTCCTCCTCCTCCAACTCCTCCTCCTCCTTCTCCTCCTCTTCTTCTGTACTACAAATTGAACCTAGACTACTTTACCACTGACTTACATCCCCACCTCCTTTTAATTTTCAATTTTGGGATTAAAATTAAGAGTTGCCCAGGCTGTATCTCTAACTTGCGATCCTTCTGCCTCAGCCTCCTGAGTCACTGAAATTACAGACTACTTGCTTCTTTTTCATGATGGCTCATTTGTCAGTTATCCTATACTCAGCCACTCAATTGAACTCTAAATCACCAATGGAACTGAAGAATGCATATGTCAAAGCCAACCACAGACTGTATGAACACATGACTATTCAGCAATGCACGGCATGTGTACCTTAGGGTGTATGATTCTAACTTTGTTGGGTATTTAATGTTTTTCTAGAGTTTTCTGAATGTTTGATTGCTCTCTCTGGCCCCTTTTGGTGTGATTTTTATAAAAAACACAAGCATTTTAACACACACACAAGCATGTGTTAAAATATAAAAAAATAATCCATAGGTTACAAAAAATTACTGGGAAACTTCTCTTTGATTTTTAGAACAATGAACAGCTCACAAAAATGCCACAGTTCAGAGGAGCAAAAATTGTCTTGTGTTGAAATTGAAAATGATTCTTTTATAAATGAAGTTGATCAAAATTTCCAGCAGGACCATTGCCTGGAGGAAAGTGTCCTGGGCTCCAGCCTGTTATGCCTAACAATGAACCATACAAGTCTGGACAGATGGTCAGATTCCAAAGTGTTTCTCATGTTACACTATTTTCTTCCTATTAACTCCCCTGAATTGTGCAGGGGAAAGGGAAAATGCTGTAACATTTGAAAAGTATAAAGAATATCTTCAGTACATTTTGGAGAGTCACAAATATTAAACATTATCTTAGTAAACTCTTCTTTTTTAGAAATGTATTCTTGGGCAAAATATGTTTGCTTCCTGTGGATAGTATGATTTATCTTCCTTCTACCTAGAAATATAAAATAGAAGATGTATTTCTGTCGTTTACTAGACTGTCTCTTCTCTGTTTCCTTCTCTCAATATTAAGTAACATTATCCATTCGGTTTTGAACTCCAGTGAGGCAGAAAACCTGAGACTCGTTTTTAACATCTCACGCAGCATCCAGCATCAATACTGCCCTTGCTCCCTAAACAGTTCTCAGATATGTCCAATTTTCTACATTTCTAATACTATCATTCTGGTCCAAAGCCTGACAGCTCTCACCTGGATTATTGCAATAAGTACCAGTCTTATCTGCCTGCAGTGACCTTCTCCCATTCGCCCATCTGCCAATATGCACTGCAGCCAAGACACAGCGATCTTTTCCAAATGCAAATTTCTGGTCATGGGTCTTATGGCCATCAGAAATTAACATTATCACTTTTAGGGTCAAGACAAAATTCCTTACCTGGTGCACACAGCCCTGCATGGGCCTTCCTTACCTCTCCAGCCCCACCTTTTAACTCTAGGCTACCCAACACATCCCTTTTCTATTCCCTCTGATTTTCCTTCTCCAGAAGGGTCCTTCCCCACTGTTTTCAACTTCATTAAGCCCTATTCCTCTTTCAGAGAGTAACTCAGGCATTACGTCCTCAGGGAAGCCTCCCCTGACCTGCCCTAGCTTTATTCAAATAATTAGGTCAAGTCCTGTTGTTTGCCCCTATGGAACCACATATCTTATCTTTCACAGCACTTGGACAAAAAGGAGAGATTTATGATGCTTTGCCTCAGGACTGGGGGTTTCAAGTGAGGAAACAGGAGCAAAAGAGTATATTTATTTAATAATCAGCCCCCTAAAATTCAAACCATTATTTCTAAACCACAAAGAAAAATATACATAAACATATTGTATTTAAGATTTCTCGGGCTGGGGATGTGGCTCAAGCGGTAGCGCACTCGCCTGGCATGTGTGCGGCCCAGGTTCGATCCTCAACACCACATACAAACAAAGATGTTATGTCTGACAAAAACTAAAAAATAAATATCAAAAAAAAATCTCTCTCTTTCTCTCTCTTTAAAAAAAAAAAAGATTTCTCAAAAGAACTAGGACAGATAGGGTTGGGGACATAGCTCAGTGGTAGAGCACTTGCCTAGCACATGTAAGACCCTGGATTCAAGCCCTTGCACAACAAATAAATAAATACATGAAATGGAATAAAGCCCTTCAAAAAAAAAAAAGCTAGGGATTTTCAATAAATAGCAGAAATTCTTCAGCAATAAATAAGTTCATCTGTCTGCATTGTGACTGAGTATATAATTTAAGAACAAGAAGCATCTTAAAAATTGTTTAAACCATGCCTCCTTGGAAAAAAATATATGAGAAAGGTAAATCTCAAAATTGACTCTCATGGGCCTCACAGTTCAATGACAGAGTATGAAGCGGAAGAATTAGTCAACAAACTATTGAGCACTATTGTTTGCATTGGTATCCTTTTTCTATGTCCTCTTTACTATATACTGTCCCTGCTTAAACCATTTACATAAACACAACAATTAAAATGTAATTGTCCATTAATTATAATTTTGTTTTTAATTGACAAATTGAAACCATATGTTTCCTGTGTACAACATTATGCTTTGATTGTATTTATACACATACATCGTAGGATGGCTAAAACAATCTATAATATGAATTTACCTCACACACTTAATTTTGTGGTGAAAACACTTAAAATATCTTACTAGTTTTCAACTACACAATATATTATCATTAACTGTAGTTACCATGCTGTATAATATTGATCTCTTAAACTTATTTCTCCTAATGAAAATTTGTATGCTTTGAACAACATGTCCCCAACCCCACCACCCATCAACTCTCAGTACACACTTGCCTATCTACTGCTTCTATGGGTCCAACTAAAGACTGCTTTCTACCCTAAGAGGATGATACAGTACCAGTAAAACTTTACTGAGAGCCTTTGAACAAAGGGATGATGTGCTATTGAAATTATATTAGAATGCAGTCTGATTTTTTTGGTACACAAACCAGCTCTTCATATTCCTTTATTTCACCTCTCTTTGTATATTAATTCCTAAACAAGAGATACTAGGAAAGAAGAGTCTTCTTCTTATTTTAAGGCTTGAAGAAAAATGAGTGTACAACTCACCCACAGCACATGCCAAGAAAGTTTGTTCATAACTTTCTCAAACACCAGATGCATTTCTCAGTCTCTGGACTGTCCTCTCATTTAACCAGTCTCCCTCTTCCAAGGATCAGTGAGAATGGGACATTATTGTTACATGGCTGCTTGCCCACTGAGTCCACTAATAAGCTCTTTTCTTGGTAACTGTAGTACTCAGAAGGGATGGACATGTTCTCCTGTTCTTTGCAATAGCAGTACAATAATAAAATTCCATCTACCCTTTCTATTTCGTTCGTCTTATAACTAGGCAGACTAATGGCCAGATTGCAGCACAAAACTTTGTGACTTATATACATTCTAGTTAAAAGGGTCATTGGAAACCATTCAGTCCAACAACTCAATTTGTGCAAGAATGCTTTTTGAAATACCCTAAACAGAAAAGAGATTAAATTTATACTTATGCTTAAATCCTTCCAGTAACTAGTTCCTTGTGTGAAAGCTCTTTAAGGTAACAAGCACTTTAAATTCAAGAACTCTGCTTGTGTTCAACAACAAATACATGATGATTTTTAACAAAGGAAGCCTGTGATATCCTCAAGCTTTATTTTGGCAGTAAAGTGTATATAAATTCTTTAAAACCAAGGCCATTGGGTAACAGTGTACTTTTTAACCTTACACAATAATTCACTGCTTGTATATTTTCAGTGATTACATCAGTTACAAGGGTTAGCTCAGAAACAGAGGGACTGAAACCATCCAGGAATCTGTTACTGTCTTCTTTTTCAGATTCTCATACTTTGATAATTCAATTCTATGTGCACTAGAAGAGTGTCTAAAGCAGACAGAAGCTCCCCTATCCATTCTGGGAAAGTCAGAGAGAGGATAATTTCCTTTGTTCTGTTTACAAGGTACTACTTTAATTAATGAAGATGAAAAAGAGATTTATTAATCAAAGAACTTTTTTCTATTTTTTGATCGAGAATTTTTGTACTTTCAGTGAGTTATTTTGGTCTCAAAATTGCTATGACTGCAATAGTTCATTACATCACACTCATATTTACATGACAAATCTCTCCAATGTTTATAAGTTACATGGCAACATAAGTAGATTCTTCCATCTATACGATCGATTTACCCATAGGATAGTACTAGGAAATTGGGTTTTCTGGGATATCACTTCTTTATTTTACTTGGCAGTGTGCCTGGCAGTGAAGAGCTTTAAATTCGACATCTGTCATTGCCTATCTTGGTCCAAATTATATAATGCTAAATAGCATGAAGAAGTCTGCACAGTCAGGAAGTCAGTAGGGGGTTATAAGTGGTAAACTTCATATTACTACATGCTTATGGGTGAACATTAGAACTGTCAGCCAGGTGCTTCCTGTAGATTTCCAGAAAGGTAGAAAGTGTAGTGCCATTGGGATCCAGAGGCACTGACATACATGAAGAATGCAGAAGATACATAAATCATGGCAGACATTCATTTCATTTGGCCCCATGTGATTCCACCGACATCACTGTGGGTAACCGGGGTCTGCATGGGGACCCTCTCCCTTCTGCACTCGATGCTTCTGAGGTGCTGCCAATCTAGACCAGACCCCGCAGTCATTTCACACACTTCCCTAATAACGTCCTCAGGGGCTGTCATGTATTTTCATGCGTTTGCCCTATTATCCCTCCCTGCTTGAGTCTTACAGATAATTGATGATACTTCAGTTAATCATCTTTCTCCCTCTTTTGTTCACCAGGTACCTCAGCCTTCAAGGGTCTCCTTTATTGAGAATCGATGTCTTCTCCTAGGTAATTGATCACCATAGACCCAGGGACACTCGATTCATCGTCCAGGAAGGGTAATCATCATGAATAATCAAAAAGCTGTAGCTGCACTACTGCAAGAGTGCAAGCAAGTGCTGGACCAGATCTTGTTGGAGGCGCCAGATGTGTCAGAGGAAGACAAGAGCGAGGACCAGCGGTGCAGAGGTGAGGTTCTGCTGGGAGGCACCAGGGGAGAGCCAGCAGGTTCACTCTCCTCTCCCCTGCCTGCATGACACGTTCTCATCTCTGCCCTATTTTTCTTCTCTTGGCAGATGACCACCGAGAGATGAGTGGATTTCTAGGGCATGAATGGGATGTGGGCTACAGGCGGACAGGCAGGGGAGGAAGCCCACTTTGTCCCAGTGAATTGCTGTCAGTTCTAATTTTAGGCTTCAGTAAACACGAGGCTACAAGAAACAGTTTAGTTCAAGAAGAACAAAGGGTCCAAGTTGGCTGGTGCACGTAAATTTCAATTATTAAAAAATTGAAGCAACTTCTGAATGGTGGCACATACTTTTTTTCAAACAAGGATTTTGTGCTTCATCAATTTCCATAGACTTCTACAGTTTCCATAAATATGTCATCTCACCAGCCCAATCTCTCTTTTCTTGGTCACCAACACATAGTAAAATAAACCCACTCATCTCTACAAATAGCAATTGCATCATGCTCAGGATTTAAGATTTTGGCTTTGAGCTCATTTTGTACTTTGTTCTCTTCATCGTTGTAGATAAGTCATCATTTGGGAAGTCTCAATCAAAGTCTAGAAAGTTAAAACAATCTTTAGTTCTTCTTTGACCCATTGTGGAGAGGCAGCTCTCTGTATTTAGGTTTCCTTTTTATCATATAATTAGATTCTGATGAACTTTTCATATTTTTTGTATTTTTTAGGGTCTTGCTATTTCATGCAAAAATAAGATTCCCAAATGAAATGCACAGTCACCGGGTCCTTTTGTTGTTCATTATGTAATGGAGAAATGTTCTGAATGCTTTCTTCATCACTTTCTTGTATAAAAGCACATTTTACAGGGGTGCTTTAAGGCTCCTGTGGGATCGTTTATGGGTTTCCTTTTGTTTTACTAGCCAGGTGCCCCCACGTGTGACTTTGCTTGCAAGTGGCTTAGCCCGGTATCACCAACGTTTTTCGGTGTCAGACCCTTGTCAGGGAATGGCAGGTTCCTGGGCATCTACTGAAGATGCCTTGTTGCTGGTCCTAGTTCTCCCCCCGCCCCCCACGCCGGGGGCAGTGCGTGGTGAGGAGTCATTTCTTCTACTCAAGTTTTTCTCTTGACCAGTTACCCCATCTCACGCTTTGTGTTCTCAACCCAAATTCCCTTAAGCTTTATGTTCTCCCTAGTAAAGACTCTGAGCCCCCTGATCGGGTAGCATTTTCTTCCCAAGTGTCACAGAATGGGAGAAATAATCAGTTTAGTTACAGATAAGGCAAATCACGGCTGTAAAATCACTAAATTAGACACGGTCCTCCAGGTAAGCTCCGTGGGGAGGTAAGTGATGGCAGAGGCAGAGGCAGAGGCGGCGGCTACCGGGGCCGGAGCTGACAGTCTGGTGATGGCTGAATCTGGTAAATCCATGGAGAGGAATCTTCCTGGGCAAAGCCACCCAGGACCGCAGCTTCCCCACCCCCGCGGCCGAGCCGCGTGCTGCACAGCAGCGCAGGCGGTTGACCGCGCGCGGGGCGGAACGCGTGCCCTTAGCCTGGCAGGTGGTTTCTGAGCATCTCCAGCAGGCGGGTCCTGCCACCACCGATGTCGTCAGCTCTTGTGCCCCCGAGAGAAAGGCATTAGTACAGGGTCACTTATGGCGGCAGGGCGAGCCAGCGGGCTCTGAAACACAAACAGTGTATTTTATGTTTCTCCCTTTCACCTCTCAACCACATCCTTCTCCCGGGGATGGAGCAGAAACTGAAGTCCAAAGAGATAATCTTTTACAGATGTATTTTAGAGGCATCTTTTCTTTCAGTGTGTTCCACTGGACTGCTCATGGTCTGGCATGATCTGTAGGGAAGAGGTGGGGTGCAGGAGGAAAACCTGAGCTGTAAAGAATAAGCCTTCTCCATTTTGATGAAGCAATTTGGAAAGATTAAAGTCCAAAGGGCGATGAAGATCTGGGAACCCAGAGATTACATTTCTGCTGTCATGAGGCGACTTATGTTCATCACAGTGTCCAAATAATTTACCAAACTGGGACACTTTGGGACAGAAAGGGACACTATTGATAAGTACCCTAGGACGACGCAGGACCCTTCTAAGCAAACAGGACTGAATGGTCATCCTAATACCCTTGAAGAAATTTTCTCTACACTTATGTTAGAAACATTTTCAGAAGCTACAATTTGGTCTGTGGCAGTAAGAGCCAGCTTTGCCAGCAGACTGTGATCCCATAGGTCCCAGATGTCAGGGTTCCACTTTCAATGTGGGAATTGCTGTTGCAGAGTATTGCAGAGTAGATGCTCAGGAGCCCCAGGCTGCTGAATACCAGGAGTGGGGGGTGTTCAGAGTGACACTTATAAGTCATTATAAGTGTCAATCAGTGCAGATAATTCACTGGTGTGGCCTACATGATATCCCCTTCAATGTCAAGCAGTCCTTTCCTGACAGGAAACTTCCTTTCCTTTGCCTAGTTGGCAAGTTCAAAAAAAAAAAAAACATCAAGAACTAAGGTACAGTTAGATTTTCTTCCTTCTCTTCTTTTGGTTTTTGTTCTCTCTGTCATATCTCTTTTGCCCTATTCAGCATGCCTCATGTAGACACAACAGTAACCACATCTTTTAACCATGATGGTCTTTTACCCATCATGATGTGATTTACAAAAGGAATGGGACATGAGACATGATATCTGTTTGCAGGAAGCTCCCAGCCCAGTGAGACAGACAGGTGTAGTTAAGGAGGAGGTATGAAGGCTGAAAGGAGCAAGCACCTGTGGTTTAAGAGCACAGAAAGGTATTTTCAAGTCCTCTTTGAGGTCATGGTAGGCTGGAAAATGACAACCTTTGCATTGAAGACTGAAGGTAGTGGGTCTGAATTTGATCATCAAGGCATTGAGTGAGAGGGATACAGTCAGAACAGGATGTACAAAATTCAAGAATTGAAGAATTTTATACAAGACAATGGCCTGATCCATCTTGTTTTTAGGGGAAAAAGTGGGAGATCAAAAATAAAGAAGATGATCCAGAGAGGATATGGAGAAAAGGAATACTTTTACATTCTTGTTGGAATTGTAAAATTAGTACAACTACTATAGAAATCAGTATGGAGGTTCCTCAAAAGACAAAAAATGGAACAACCATAAGATCAGGCTATGCCACTCCTCAGTATTTATCCTAAAGAATTAAAGACATCATTCTATAGTAATACATGCTTACCCATGCTTATAGCTGCACAATTCACAATAGCCAAACTATGGAACCAACCTAGATGTTCATCAGTGGGTAAATGGATAAAGGAAATATGGCATATGTATACAGTGGAGTTTTAATCATAAAGAAGAATGAAATTATTTCATTTGCAGGAAAATGGATGGAACTTGAGAACACTATGTTAAGTGAAATAAGTCAAACTCAGAAAGTCAAGAGTCATTATGTTTTCTCTCCTATGTGTCAGGTAGAGAGGAAAAAGGAAAAGAAAAGCAGGAAGTGGGAAGGAATCTCAGGAAAATCCAAGGGAAATCAATAAAGAAGAAGAAAATAACCACGGGGAGGAAAGAAGGGAGGGAAAGGGGAAATACTGGGGAATAATATTGGCCAAATTATATTGTTATATCATGTCTATGTATGAATATGTGGCAATGAATCCCACCACTATGTATAGTTGTCGTGCCCCAATAAAAAATATGGAAAAATAAGGAATATTCGGTGAAATTATAAACAGCAATTCAAGCAAAAATTATTGAAAAAGAAGAGGAGGAAATGAGTTTTAGAAATGACAGGATTCAACAACCAGTTAGATTCAGGGAGACAGAGAAAGTAAATGTCTAGACTGATGTCTGGGCTTCAGACTTGGGTGATTTTGTGCATGGTGGTACCATTCATCAAAAAAGAGAATATGAGGGGAAATAAGTTCAGAAAAGAGCTGATGGGCTAAGTTTTGTACGTGTTCAGTGTGAGATACCTGCAAGATAAGTACCACGAGATTTATAGCTGGCAATCATGTATATAGGACCATGGTCCTTTATCCAGAACCCTGAAGATCACAGATACTTCAAAATTCAGACTTTTCCCAATGGGAGGAGGGTCTTTGGGTACATATGTTTCTATTCATTGTTGAAACAGAAGGTAGGGTGGCAGCTAAGACAGACATCAACCTTTTTTTTTTTTTAAGCAAAACTTCTAAGTAATCTCACTCAGTAGGATAATTGGGACTATAAATTGCCCTACCCAATTCAAGTCTAGTTTGGATTGTAAACATAAGGAAAATTTTCTACTTTCCAGAGATTTGGGGGTTTCTGGATTTTGGATAGGAGACTGTGAACCAGTAGAAATAGATTTGGTGTTCACTGAGAGATTTAAACATAGCCACTAACATGAAATTAAGGCTGTTTCACATTTAATTGATCTCTCTTCAAATCTCATCTGTGTTTTTCATATTTATTGTCTGGACTCAAGTGTTGTCCATGGTAAAAGAATGAGATGGGGGTCTTAAAGAAGCAAAAAGAGGTTGAACAAACTTACGGTCTACATTACCCAGCTGCCACAAGCCCACAATACCATTCCATTCCAGTCCCTTTCTCATTTTACAGGGAAAATAATATTTCCTCCATTCCTTTCTCTGATTCTTCATGCAGAGATAGTCACTGAAGTGCTTTACTTCCTGCTAAAAACCTTTCTTAATGCCTGACTACTCCAATTTACCTGTAGGGCAAAGGAGAGCAGGGCCACCCCTGACAGATAGCTCCTTGCTATTATTCTTTGAGTCAGAACCAACAGCTCAGACTAGCCACAAGAGCTAGGGAAAAGTGTTTTTGCTACTGAGGTGCTTCATCATAACACGGGGGAGTTCAACAGCCTTTTCTTTGACTGCAATTTCCTTACCTGAACTCTGACCTCTGCAGCTTCACTCCCCAGCGAGTTAAGGACCCTGATCCAGGAGGCGAAGGAAATGAAGTGGCCCTTCGTGCCTGAAAAGTGGCAGTACAAACAAGCCATGAGCCCAGAGGACAAAACAAACCTGCAGGATGTGATTGGTGCCGGGTTGCAGCAGTTACTGGTAGGAAGAGCTCCACCACCTGTCCCTCTGACATCCCCAAGTGAGGCATTTAGTCTCTAAGTGGTCTAATAGATTAAATTTCTTTGAAGCAAAAGACAGTCCCTATCTTTATGGTCTGCTCTGCCAGATTGACTAATGTAGGGGAAATTGCTGTTCGAAAAGCATCTGCCTGTAAGATCTGATGCTGGAAAGGCATACCTAGTAAAAGTGAACAAGGGCGGTGGGTGGGTCCAATATGAAACCTGTCATCCTGAACCATTTAGGCATCCTTGGTGAACCAAAGCAGTTTTGATTCCACTATGCCTCATAGCATTCTTATTTTAAAATGCCACTTTCTAAAAGTTGGGTAGCTTTAAAAAAATAAATTATTCACTGCCTCATCAAGGTGACTTGCTGACTAAACTGTTGAAGTTTAACAGTAATTGAAAACATAATTTAAGCCCTCCTAATTAATCATAATTTAATAGAGGCGATCAAAAACATATAATTCAAGTCCTTCTGTTAGAATTTTATTTGACACTTTTTCAAGCCTCAGGATATTTCAAAACATCTTTTACTATCTCTGATGGTATTTATGCTCAACATTCTTTATAGCAACAGGATTTCATGGTTTATATGAGATTGTTGGCTCTATTTTCTTAACAGTGTTTCTCCAACACCAATTGAATTATTATTATTCATCTAATCACCACTTCGGTTTTGAAGTCTCTGCTTGGTATTAACACTTGGTTGATGTAGTATGATTATTCTTGTATGTTTCTAACTATTGATGAAGGTCAGATTCACTTAGTATTAAGTGGTACTATTGACTTCCATCCAGTTTTCATAAAATCTGAAAGAGAATAATAAATGTAATAGTAACTATTTATTAATATTATGTTATCTATTCTGTTTGTCTCTGCCATATTTTGAATCCCATACCTAAATATAAAATCAGGTCCATATGAATATGGATTAGTTTATATCCCTTCCCTGGATTCCATTTTATTTGTTCCCTTAGCTTCTCATGTTTAAGGCTGTTTCGGAAGCATCAGGTCAAAGTCATTGACATGCTTATCCTCAACTCATCTATCAGAAATGAATTGAGTGGATACCTCTACCCCAGATAGGAGAGAACTTCAGGAACAGCATAGGAACCCTGGTTAGGGCTAAGAATTCAGGCTTAGATTAGGTTCTGGGGATTTTTTTTTTTTTGGTGGTGGTGATACTGGGAATACTAGGGCCTCATTAATTATTTTGTTTTATTTTTATTAAAATTTTTTTTCCTTGGTGGTACTGTAGATTGAACCCAGGGGCACTTTACTACTGAGCTACATTGCCCAGTCCTTTTTCAAAATTTTATTTTGACACAGGGCCTCACGCAGCGGCCGAGACCATCCTCAAACTTGAGATCCTCCTGCCTCAGCCTCTGGAGTAGCTGGGATTATGGGCATGTGCCACCATACCCAGCCCATTTTCCTTTTTAGTGACATTGTTTTTGTGCCTACATTCTTTCAGGAGGTTGTCAAGGAATCCTACTGGCTTGTAGGTATTTTTTTCATCACAAAAAGTTTCCTTTGTTTGGAGATCAGGCATTAGAACAATGACAACATCCTAAAATTTTTACTCTCTCAGTTTACATGGGATTGTGTTTTGGGATCATCCCAAAAATAAATGTATAGAAATTGTCCTTAACTGTTGAAGCAAAAATCTAGGAAAGACCCCTTGATCTATGGACATTCAACAGCACATTTAGGGACTTACCAGAAATAGTGAAACCTCCACTTCTCTCATACCCCCGACAAAACTAAGCAAAACAGGTTAAGCAGACTGGGGATGGCAAGCCCAGGAAAGTGAGTACTTGGAAAGAATGCAGTGTTGAGCCAGGAGTTTTAAATAAATGTGGTTGGTATTAGTAGAGAAGTGGAATGAAATAAGTATAATTTTTTTAATCACTATTGAGTCTGCAAAGTGTTTGCATGTGCATAATCTCATTTAATTTCTCAAGATAGCCTTATGGTGGTTATCACCGTTATTATCTTCATTTTACAAAGGAGGCAACTAAGGTGCAGAAAGACAAATTTGTCCAAGGGAATGGAGGAGTATATGGGAGAGCTTTGACTTTTAGCCTCCTCTTTTTTCCAATCCCAGTTTTCCATCAGGAAGCCCTGAGATGTGTTCAAGCAGACTGTTCAGGAGACCTCCTCTAGAAGGAGTCTGTCCAACAAGACAGCCACTAGTTGCATGTGGCTCTTGAGTACTTCATAGTGCTAGGCGATATATGATTAAATGGAAAACAAAAAGTTTCCCCCTGCAATACAACAGCATTAGAATATAAACTACCAATGAAGAGGAATTAAAATTCAAAGCCTAGAGGGAAGAGAAATGCAGTGTTTACAAAGTATTTTCCATGAGACATTAGAGTGGATACTCACCCATCATTTATAGTTTTATTGACTTTTTATTAATTCCTATGAAGACAGCCACATGTGGCCAGGGCCACCATTCTATTGGACAGTGCATCTCTACTTCAATGCTTTTTACAGCGAGACCTCCCAAGCACAGTGTCAGAATCCCACGGGAACTTGGAAATTCCATATCAAAAATCCTCTACACAATCAAAAATCCTGGGAGTGGAAACTCAGCACTTAGCATTAGACAAGGGCTCCAGATGATTATGAAGGCTGAAGTTTGAGAACTGCTGCCCTGAAGAAAAAAATAGAGGGGAGAATGAGAGAGAAAGGCAGATCCTTAATGGAGAGGTGAGGACCAAAGGGACAAGGTAAAAACAAAAGGAGAATCCCAAGTGAAAACTGAGACCAGCCAGGAAAGACATCTCTTCTCCATCAATTCTGGGAGTTGTTGCTTAAACGGGAGCTGCTCTGGAAGAGCCTGCCATAGCTTCCCTTGCTAAGGGAGTCCTTGTATGATTAGGCTGGTGGCACAGGGAATGCTACAAGCCTTCCTGGGAAAGTGAGAGCAGAGTGGCTGTGCTGGAAGCAGCCCCTGCTTTGACCATTGGGCGAGAAAGTTTCTCTGACTTGGAACATAGGGTGAAGCATCTTTGGGATGTAGCACATCACTGTTACCAGGCTTTTACTTCTCTGGTTTCATCCTGCAATCACCAGTTTCGCCTCCCTGTTTCCAAAGTGGGTAGCAATATTAGTTGAAAAATTGAAGCTGATGTTTTTAGACTCTTGAGTCTCGGTGCATCTGGGGATTAATGTGAGCTGGGAGATGAGCTGTTCAAGGTTGTTGAACTGTTTTTACAGCACATTCATCACTCTCTCACTATTCCTCTATGTATTTCACAACTATGGAAACAGAGGCACCGAGAATTGAAGAAGTTTGTGTCCGGTTCACAAGGTCACTCAGTGGCAGCTCTAAGAATCAGTCCATTAGGCCTCCTTTAGTCCCTAAGGTATTTAATCTGGGAGCTTTTTGAACTCTGAGCATCATTTTCTTTAGCTTACCCAGCAAGCTATAAATTAGGAACCACACCTCCTAAGACTTTTAGGGCACTTTCCTATTGTGCCATACCCCAAGTGCACAATTGCTAAACCACTCTGTTTGTAAATACAGAGAACTATAGCGCCCTGTGGGCCAGGCTCTCTCCAACTCTCACTGCTTTTAATATCTTAGCTTGTTAAAAAAATAGCTTGAATAAATTCCATGGCTTGTTTTTGTCCCAGTACACCATCAGTTTCAACCTCACAACTTAATGAAGCTGAATGGCCAAGTTTTAATAATGGACAAGTTGTGAGTTTCCACTCTGACATAATAGTCAAAGGCCCATGAGTTGGTCTTTTCAGTCCTTATTTTTTTCTTATAGTTTGTTTATGACTTTGTGTTTTGTTTTGTTTTTAACCTTGACATGGAATCTTTCCCATAAAAATCCCCCTCCTTTAAAAAAAATTAATATTACACTTCGAGGATAAAATACTGTGTCATTCAGTTAATTCCACAAATAACAGTAACATAAAATACGTAAGAAAAAGGTTAAACATAAAATACATAAGAAAAAGGTAAATCAGAACTCTTTTCCACAGTTACCGAACTGGTGAATTTCATGGTCATTTATAATGTTCTCGCTCAGCCTGAACTTTATCAAGAAAAAAAAAATTTATGTGTTTTGTGCTTTGGCTTTCTTCTCAACACCCCTCCCCAGACCCTCCCCCGCCCCACACCCGGCTCCCTCCCTCCTCCCCCACCCTCCAATCTTTTTCCCTTTGGTGTGTGGCCACAGACAGAAATTTATGGCAGGGGTCAACCTCCTTTACACTGCACACAAAGCTTGCTGACTTGAGAGAGTTTGTCCCCCTCTCCCAGAAAAAACACCTGCAGTACGCTCCCCAAGAAACCTGGAGAGATGGGAGATTAATGTGGCTGTAATAGCCGGGCAGTGTTCTGGGTATTATGCCCTCTCCCCAGGTAGATGGGTCTTTTCCGAGATGATACCAATTATTTATTGCTGAAACATCTGTTGATAACTGCAGCTGCCCTTGTAAAACAAAGCATATCGTAGGGTCACAGGCTATGGGGACCTAAAATCCTGCCTCATGCTAGCTTCAGTCTATTCAGCAACACCCCCGAGTCCGTGGGTTACCATCCTCTCTAATGTCTCATCGTGCCATGGAAAATACTTTGTAAACACGGCACTGCCCTTCCCTATAGGCTTTGAAGTATTATTTCATCTTCATCGGTAATTTATATTCCAGTGCCATTGTACTGTGGGAAAAAGAGGGGGAACCTTTTTGTTTTCCATTTAATTGTATATCGCCTGACACTTTGACCTGTATTATTAGTATTAGTCAGAAAAAGGATTTTCTCCCTCTCTTATTTAAAAATAAAATTTCAAGGGAAAGTAAGCACTCCTTCAGCTCTTTTCACTCAAAACAATGTTTACACTCTGAGAGGGAAAGATGAAAAGCAGGAGCAACTTTTTTCAAGTGCCGGAGAAGGGCATTTCAGTTTTTGAAAGAGAACAGTAAGGCCCTTATAAATATCATTCAGTAAAACCT